TATGGCAATGGTGGGCCCAAAAAAATTTTTCCTTATACTAGGGTGAAGGTGTGACCTACCTGCCAAGTTGAAAGAAATTGTCAAGCCAAAAAAATCACAGAAGAAATCATACATGAAAACACTGGAAATCACACACACACACAGACACACACACCCACACACACAAAACGACAAAAGTGATTATAAAGGCAATCCTAGTGGAGCGGATCGCCAATATTGATGGAAAAGCTAAAAACTAATTATGTAAAGTAGGTAACTAATATGAACAGATTTGAGTGTAAAACTAATAGGTCTGTGTAATGTAATATCTAGGAACCAAGTTTCATTGAAATGTGATTAGAACAAAAAAATTATGAATTATTATGCTAATTAGAGAATTAATATGAACACATTTTTTTAACCCAAAATTAATCAGGCCTGTCTTTTGTCTTAGAGCATTTATGTACCAAATTTTATTCAAATATGATGATCAGTAATTGAGATATCAGTGTTAATTATGTTAATTAGGTGATTAATAAGCATAAATATTTACCAAAAATTAATTGGGTCTTTGCATAGTCCTAGGTTCATTGAAATGTGATGATGAGTACTCTTTAAAAGTTTCATTAAAATCCAATTAGGGGTTCTTTATATATCAGTGGAACATTCATGGAGAAAAAAAAACTAATTATGCAAATTAGGCAATTAATATGCACAATGCAATGCACAATTATTTACCCTAAAACTAATCAGGTCTCTGCATAGTCCTAGAAGATCTATGTCGCAAGTCTCATTGAAATATGATGATTAATACTTGAGATATCAGGTGAAAAGCTGAAAATTAACTAATTATACTAATAAGGTAATATGCACAAATATTTAATCCAAAACTAATCGGGTCTCTGCACAGTCCTCAAGTAACTATGTACAAACTTTCATTAAAATGTGATGATTTCTACTCGAAAATATCAAAAGCTGAAAATTAATTAATTATACAAATTAGGTAATTAATATGTACTGATATTACGCTAAAAACTATCAGGTCTGTGTAGTGTCCTATGACATCTATTTACCAAGTTTTATTGAAATGTGATGATTAGTACTTGAGATATCAGTGGAAAAGCCGAAAATTGATTAATCATTATGCAAATTAGGTAATTAATATGCCCGGATTTTTCCTTAAAACTAATCAAATCTGCGCATTAGTTCAGAGCATCTATGTGCCAAGTTTCATCACAATCCAATGAGTGGTTCTTTAGATATCAGTGGAACAGCTAAAAATCAACTAATTATCATGCAAATTAGATAATTAATATTCATGGCTTTTTATCAAAACCTAATCAAATCAAATCGCATTGGCCCAGAGCATCTATGCACCAAGATTCATCGAAATTTGATTAGTGGTTCTTGAGATAACGCGGAACAGAAAAAGTGACGTACAGACATACAGAAAGGGTAGCTGCAAAGACTCCCTTTTGTGTCAAAAATTAAAAAAAAAAATATTGTCCTAGAAATATAATGATTGCCACCCATATCTACACAATTCAAACTAGAAGGTGCTGATGTGAAATTAACTTCAATCTGCTTGTATGAACCAATCACATTACAAGGATTTTTTATTAAACAGTATGGAGATATAGAGAATTATGATGCTGCTTTATTGCATTGAACAGCCATGATATAGGATAAAACAAATCAACAATGTACACAAAGTATTAATATTGTATGTTGTCATAGTGCAAATATATGAAGTGAATAGTGGAATTTAGGGGGTGTGCATCCCTTAAATTCGTCATTACTCTTATACTGTGGAATACTTTATTTTCGTTGGAATTAATTTTCGCTGAAAAGGCTTTTTGGGCGTTTTTTATGGAATTTATTTTCACTGTTTTTTGATGAGTTTAATGTGAAATATAGGAAAAAAAGTATATTCGCTGGATTTTATTTTCACGAAATCATCCCTTCAGCGAAAATAGCGAAAATAAATTCCAAGCGAAAATAAAGTATTCTA